CAATGATGCTTCATTGTACAGTCTTTTATTACTCGCTAATTATTTTATATATGTAAATATTGTTACTACATTAATATTTTAGGCTCATCTATAAAATAGATCATGTCTTCTACTTATTCTATAGTGCTTGGCGCAGATTAGGCATTTAATATTTGTTGACTTGAAATCTCAATTAGGATATTTTTACAGTATAGCTGCATCAAATGTGTCAAAACTAACCTGCATCTTATGTTTCTTTAGTGCTTTTTTTTTTTTTTTTAACATCCATATAGATGCATTTGTGGGAAAGGTACATCTACCTAAGAATTACAAAATAACCTCAACATCAGTGGATCACAAGCCAGTGAAGTACAAACAGGGGCCACAGTGCCATCTAGTGAGTATAACTAGTTTACATCTGCTGATCACAAGCTCATTTTCAGTCCTGTAACAGAAGGGCATGATTTTTCGAACTTTATATGGTAAAAAGAAACAATATATAACTAGAACATGAGACATAACTGTCCTCCACACACTCAAAAGAGAAAAGAGCTGAGCTGGAGAAAGTTATACAGTAGTGGGATGATTTTTTAATAATGTATTCTCATTCAGTTCTGATAATCAAAGAGCACTCATAGATTTTAATCACTATTAATTTCCAATTATGCATAAAGCAAGGAGAGAAATAGTATGAGGAAACGGAATTCCTATATCAGAGGAAGTTGACAAGTATTTATTGAGTTTCTGTAACTATTTTTAATCTAATGGGCATCTACTATGCATTAGGCACTATGCTGGGTACAAGGGCAAATAAAGATAACGTATGGTCCCTGTCCTCAAGGAGGTGGCAGTCTAATAGATGACTACGACAGGTACAGAAGCAACTAAAATACAATGCAGAAAATAAGTATCTAGGGATAAACAGAACTGTTACAAAGTCTTGGAGAAAAGGCAAGACAAGGAAATTTCCTTAGGAAGCTAAGAATGCCATTAAGAGCTAGGCTTTGAAAAAGGGAATTTTAAAGTGTAGGGACACAAAAAACAGGTAATTTGCAATGAAGAAGCATGAAAAAAGATACTGAGGTAGAAAGCACAGATCATGGGTAGAAAGCAGCAAGTACTCCAGTTGAGGACGAACATAGTATACAAGGAAATAAAATAGAAACAGTTTCCATGAAAGTAAGTTGTTATAAAGCCAGGAAGCCCCTTGGATTATGTCTCCTGGCATGAATCTATTTCCCTTTGACTTCCTGCTACATTTTGACCAAGCACAAAAGCCCTCACCAGAAGCCAAGCAAATCCAGTTCCATGGCCCTTGAACTTTCCAACCTGCAAAATCATAAGCTAAATAAACCTATTTTCTTTATAAATTACTCAGTCTTAGGTATGCTGTTATAGCAATACGAAACAGACTAAGACACCATTACTTCCCTGGTCACATCTCCTAATTCCCCCAATGTTCCCTCCACTCCAGTCACAATGATCCCCTTGCCATTGTTTAAATACCCTAGGGACTTTGCACTTGTTATTCCCTCTGTCTGGGATGCTCTTTTTCCTCGGGTTTCTACTTAAAAACAATCTTCCCAGTGAAGACTTCCTTGACCACCCTATCTAACATTTCAACTATTCACCCTCCTCCAAAACATTTAATATCACCCTTTCCTGCTTAGTTTTCTCCTTAGCACTTATCAATATTTAATATACCAGGAGTCAACAAACTATAGCCTTTGGGCAAAATCTGGTCCACCATATTTTTTGTACGATTCATAAGTTAAGAACAATTTTACATTTTAAGTGACTGAAATAAATGAGTCATATTTTATGATACATGAAAATTACATAAAATGCAAATTTTAGTATTCCAAAATGCAGTTTTATTGGAACACAGCCACACCAATTTGCTTACATATTGTCTATGGCTGCTTTCAAGGCACATAACAGCAGAGTTGATTAGTTTCAACACAAAGTGTATGGCCTGCAAAACCTAAAATATTAACTGTGGTTCTTTACAGAAAGTTTGTTGACCCCTATAATATAGCATAATACTTATTTATCTTTTTATTGTTTGCCTCTCCTAATGGAAATAATGGGGACAGCAGTTTTTGTCCATGTGGATAAAAGTTTTTATATATTTATTCATTGCTATATCCTCAATGTCTAGAACAGGAGACAATAAGTAAATATTTTTGAATGAATGAACACTAGAAAATATAGACAGAAGTACTTTTGGATTAGAAAGCTTGGCAACAAAAAGAAGGACAGAGAGAACTGAAGTTTGAGGAGGATCACAAAGTTGAAGGAAGGTTTTTGGATAAAGAAGGCTTCAAGGTAATTATAGTGACAGGAGAAAGAAACAGTAGAGAATGATTAAACAGCTAGGGTTAAGATCTGTAGAGTAAGGTCCCCAGAAGAAGTTACTTCTTTCTCAGAGGAAAGAGAAAATAAAGAATGAGTGAAGAGGAGAGAAATTGATGAAGTTCACGTCAGTGGATATAATATGCTCAGTAAATTACACAATAAGGTCTTTTGCTAAAACAAAGGAGAAAGCATGGGTGCTTAAGGACAGAAAAAAAATGTTTTAAAATTACCACTGTAGGAATGAAGAAAGCAGACAATGAGAGTTAACAAAGGTTAGACACTGACAAGGTGGGATTATTAGAATATGATGGATTGTGTTTTTTTTTTTTTTCACCTTTCTATCTGTCCTTGTGCATAAGAGAATATTCACTGCATATGGAGGGTATCCAATTAATGTCTGCTAAATTCAAGACAGGAAGGATGAAATGGAGAAATATACTAACAGTAATCAACAAAGTTATGAACATATTCAAAATATCCTTTGGCTTCACCACTAATCTGGTCATAAATGATACAGTTACATATTGAATACACACCATTAAAATGTGCCTGTTTTATTGTTCTCCTATTCTTCCTAACATCACTAGTACTGCCATTTGAATTTCTAATTATAAACTCAGCCCTATACTAGGCTCTAGGACCAAACTTGACATTAGAAGAGATTTAAGAAGCACTGCTTCAAGTCTCAGAAACTGTATCTAGTCAACTTGTATTCTTCTTCTGGTCACTGCTTCTCAGTCTGGCTCCCTATGCAGGGGCTCTGCTCTTAAAAACACCTTGATATCCTAGTCCCTTTAGGTTTGGAGATCTACCTTGCTCCTTCTAATCTGTCTGCACACACTCCCATTCCTCAAAGATTTGTGTGCTGTCTCAGACTCCAAATCTCTGTGGTTGAAACCCTGTTCCCTGTGGTTATGCTTATGTGATGCCAACCACCTGCTTACCTGACTTACAGAATATTTACAACACTTAGATTTCTCTCATTGCCATGCTCTGCTTATCTGCCCTTTAGGATACCCTGATACCAGCTGCTTGGGTGAGTCGAAGGCAACTATGCCTTTTTCATCTCTGTAACCTCAGACCCTAGCACAATGTCTGGTACTGTGTCTTTCTTTCCTGATGGTTGATTAGATACCCTCCCTTGGCCTGCAGATGCACCCATTCCCCAACTAGCATGTCTACATCCAGATATAGGTCCTTCCCAAGCTGCCTGGCCCACTGTGTCATAAATCATGGAAGTTATAAAAGCTCTATGATTGCCCTCTTTTTTTTTTTTTTTTTTTTTTGATGGAGTTTTGCTCATTACCCAGGCTGGAGTGCAATGGTGCAATCTCAGCTCACTGCAACCTCTGCCTCCTGGGTTCAAGCAATTCTCCTGCTTCAGCCTCCTAAGTAGCTGGGACTACAGGCGTGCACCACCATGCCCAGCTAATTTTTTTTTTTTTTTTGTATTTTTAGTAGAGACGGGGTTTCACCATATTGACCATTATGGTCTCGATCTCTTGACCTCATGATCCACCTGCCTCGGCCTCCCAAAGTGCTGGGATTATAGGCATGAGCCACCGCACCCGGCCTGTGATTGCCTTCTTTACTGGTCTTTAAGTAAATGGTAAGCAACTACCTTCTTTACTAGTCTTTAAGTAAACAGTAGGCAACTACCTTTCTGAAATAGTGCTACCCTGTGCAGAATTCGGCAACAAAATCTACACGATCATCTTCCTTTTAGGTCTTAAACTGTAGGTAACTATTTTCTGAATCAGTTAAATGCTAGCCTGTGAAACACTATGATTAATTAAATAAAATTTCAAGTTCTCTTCCAGGACTGTGAATTTATAACATATGAACTAAATATCAAATATTTTCTTGAAAGAAAATCTAAAGTGTTTAAGTTAGATAAACAATCCTTCAAACATAAATAAACCTTCAAAGAAAATATCTGGAATCACTACCCTTAATCACCTATGTGAACGAAGGTTAGACCTATCATTAAAACTTGAAAGGCAACCAAAACCTTCATATTTCATTTGGGTCCACACTTGTTTTTCTAGTTCTTTGTCCTTCCAAGAGCCAATACCCCTTATTACGTGCATACCATATAATACCCAAAGGAAGCAATGTCCTAATTGCTTTGGAAAGTATTTACGTTCTATCTTTAAACAAGCTTTTATCTTCTTTACCTTCTAGAATTTTGTCCTGATAAGAAATCAGTTAAAGAACATTTTCTAGGGTGGTTGGAAAGGCAAGAAATAACAACCCAGAAAGTGAAAGAATGGCCACGTCATCCAAGTATTTGCTTTCAATGAATGCCTGACAAAAATGTATACTTTAAAATTTAGTTTGCTGGAAAGAACAATATTACAAATGGTTAGTTTCAGATAACTTTGTTCAGGAGTTCAAATGATACATTACCTTTCAGAATAGAGTGTGAAAAATAAGGGGTAAGTAATAGACTTAATGGTATTCCAAATTCTCCCTTTCTTTGGGAAGTTTCACTCAATGTTTACAGCGTGGAAATCAAGAAAATGTCAATTTGAGCTTGTTCTATATGAAGGAACTCTCAGACATCCTAAACTAACAGCCAAGAAGACACAGCATGACATCTATCCCTCTGTAACTGCACATAAGAACATTTGCTACCTCTGAAAATAGATAAATCAAAGGACCTTATCAAGTTGTTGCAAATTCAGGTAACAGCAAGCCATGTTCCTCTGCAGCTTGGCGAAGTCCACATCCATTTCACTAGGTGAATAAAACTTCAGAGAATAATAGTACCAGTGTAGGGCATCAGCGTAATTTTGTACCTAAAGTTTAAAAAGAAACGACAAAATCACAGTGATGTCTCTACCCTACCTTTCCCAAGTCACCTCTAGAAACAAATAAAAGATGTTATTGGTGTCTTTTTAAGGCAACCAAAACACAATATCCTTTATATTGAGTTCTAAGTGCATTTTATTATCAGTCTTAGTCAATATAAGCTTTAGATAAAATTGCAATCAATATTCTTTCTTTTTTCTACACATTAGAAATTTCACATAGGATGAAGAGTCTAAGAGTGTAGTGAACCACCCCAGAAAACTTAACATCTATTTTAAAAGTTATTAAAACAACAATGATAAAAAATTTAAAAGAGAACACCCATAATTCACCATGCTAATGCAGCTATTTTCATTTATCTATGTTCAATTTTAACTTTATTCTTTTGTGTATTTACCTAGTTGTAATCATAGCTTATAAAAAATTTGATGTTCTATTCTTTCCATTTAATTTTGTACATACTAATCTATGTTGCTATGTAGTCTTCACAGTAATCAATTTTAAGAGATACATAACACTTAATCAAATATATAATGATTTTCTTAATGTGAAATATTTAGTGAATTTACAGGGTTTTTACTATTGTAATTGATGCTGCTGTATTTTTATACAAAAATACATTTTCTCTTGAGCAACTTTAAAATTTTCAGTGGTGACAAGCTAGCTAGGGAAAATCTGACAGAAGTAAGTTGGATAATTATTTCCTAATCTAAGAAGACTGAGACTGCTTATAAACCAAGGTAAGCTAAATGACTCCCGCATACCCTGTGAAGAAACTTCGTATTTTTCAATTAAGAACAGGAGACATTAGGACCTTCAAGGAATAAAACACCCTCTCCAAGTAGAAACAACTGTGCTGAATAGGTAAAACACTGCTTTTGACTATTACATTAGTCATAGTAGATTAGAAATATGTCATATTAGAAATAATCAATTAGAAATAAGATTACATTCCTCTCCAGTGTTGGAAGTGGATGTTCTGAGAAAATTATTTGCAAGACTGGAAAATGAGAGGAAAGAAAAAGAATCAATAGAAGAATGGGAATTCTGAAGTAGTTGTTCACCTATTTAGCAAAAAAATAAAGGCCTTCTAAAGGAGAATAAGAACATCATTCTATCTTGCAGTACCTAACCATAAGACCTAGGTCTCTACATGCTCCTATAAGGGATTCTCCTTCCTTCTCTTGGGTCTAATTCTTTGTTTCTCAATCTTTGTTCCCTTTTTTCTCTTCACATCTTTCTCCTACAAAACCTATGATAACATTTTTGGAAAACAGTTTTATTGAGGTACAACCGACATACAAAAAGCCACATATATTTAAACTGTACAATTGTTTTGACATATATATATACATAGCTAAAACCATCAACACAGTCAGGGGAGTGAACACATCCATTACAACCAAGTTTTCTTTGTAATCCCTCAATCCAGCTCATTCCAGTCTCTCATCCCTGAAACAATTATGAATGTGCTCCATGTAACTATTAATTTTCATTTTACAAGCTTTTATACATTTGAAAAATCTAATATGTATTAATACTTTTTTGCCAGGCCCCTTTCACTCAGCAAAACCGTTTCTAGATTTATCCCCATTACTGCATCTATCAATAGTTCATTCCTTTTTATTGCTACGTAATATTTCATTGAAGAATATACCAGTTTGTTTATCCACTAACTTGTCAATAAACATTTTGTTGTTTCCAGTTTTTAACTATTATAAATAAAGCTGCTATTAGCTTTTACATGCAAGTTTTTCTATGGATAAATAATTCCTTTTCTTTTGAGTACATGCATATGATTGAAATGGTTGGATCACATGGTGGGGGCAAGTTTAACATTATAGAAAACTGCCAAACTATTTTCCAAACGGTTTGTACTATCTTATGTTTCCACCATGAAATTCCAGTTCCTCAACATCTTCATCAGCATTTGGTATGGTTAATTTTTTTCATTTCAGCTATTCTAAGAATTGTGTATTGGTATGTCCTTGGAGTTTTCATTTGCATTTTCCTAATGACTCGTAAGTCATCTTTTTTTGTGTGCTTATTGTCATGCATATACCATTTTCTGGTGAAATGTTTGTTCATATCGTTTGCTAATTTTTGAATTGTTTTTCTTTATATGTTGAGTTTAGAGAGTTCTTTTTATGTTTTAGCTACTAGTTCATTATTGTATACATGGTTTGAAAATTTTTCTCCGAGTCTGTATCTTTTTTCATCCATTAAACGAGAACTCTTTTTTTTAGTATAATTTTCACTTTATTTTCTTCAGAGGATAGCTTTTCTTCAGTCCTTAAGGACTCAGCTCCTTACATAGGCTTTGGTGGAGGTCATTGGGCAGCACCCACAGGTCTAAATCAGGGTTGGAATGTTTGGTCCTTACGGGCTTCACGAGATTGATTCTACCTTGCCGTGAATGGTGAAACTCATGCAGTAATGTAGCTTGACAAACACTTGGGAAGCACATAGACATCAAAGACACTGGCCTCAGAAATGTCCCTGATAGCTGTGGCCTCTACTGTGATTTTGTGGTTTTCTTTTAGTTTTTGGGACAGGATCTTGCTCTGTTACCCAGGCTGGAGTGAAGTAGCATGATCACAACTCACCGCAGCCTTATACTCCTGGGCTCAAGGGATCCTCCTGGCTCAGCCTCCTGAGCAGCTGGGACTACAGGTGCATGCTACCAGACCAGGCTAAATTTTTATTTTTTATTTATGTAGTCTCCCTATATTGCCCAGGTTGGTCTCAAACTCCTAGGCTCGAGAGATCCTGCCGCCTCGGCCTCTGAAAGCACTGGGATTATAGGCATGAGCCACCACACTTGGCTTTCTACTATATTTTGAATGATAAACTTCTTAACAGCCCTGTCTTTAGTCACGTATCAGGTACAATTCATGCAGGGATTAGGCTGCACATGGCCATGGCCCTTTCTGGCACAACTGTTGTTCCTTCTTTCTTTGTCAGTTTTGGAGGTGAGGACCTGAGACTGAATAGGATCTTTCACAGAACAAAAGCTTTTAATTTTCATGAAATAGTTTATTAATTTTTATTTTTATGTATGATATTTTAAAATTTTATTTATTTATTTATTTATTTATTTATTTATTTATTTGAGAAACCAGGTCTTGCTATGTTGTCCAGGCTGGCTTCAAACTCCTAGGCTCAAGCAATCCTCCTACCTCAGCCTCCCAAGTAGCTGGGACTATAGGTATGTGCCATTACACCCTACTTGCATCATGTTTTTGAGTCAAGTCTAATAATTCTTTACCTGGCCTAGATCCTGAAGATTTTCTCCTATGTATATTTTAAAAAGTTTTATAGTTGCACATTTTACATCTAATTTAGTAATTCATTTGAATTAATTTTTATATGAAGTGTGAAGTTAAGGTCAAGATTAATTTTTTTTTCTTTTACTATGGATGTCCAAATGCTCCAGCACCATTAGTTAACAACATCATCTTTTTTCATTGAATTACTTTTGTGCTTTCTCAAAAATCAGTTGAGTATGTTTGTGTGGAATTATTTTTTGGTTCTCCATTCTGTTCCATTGATCTATGGTTCTATCTCTCTGATGATACCACACAGTCTAGAGTACTGCAGCTATATAAAAAGTCTTGAAATTGAATAGGGTGATTCTTTCTGTTCTATTCTCTCTCAGGACTGTTTTGGCTATTTTCTTTCTTTTAATTTTAGGTTTAGGGGTACATGTGAAGGTTTGTTACATAGGTAAACCCATGTCACAGGGGTTTGTTTTACATATTATTACATCACCCAGGTATTAAGCCCAGTACCCAATAGTTATCTTTTCTGCCTCCCTCCCTCCTTCCACGCTCCCCACTCAAGTAGACACCAATGTCTGTTGTTTCCTTCTTTGTGTTCATAAGTTCTTATCATTTAGCTCCCACTTATAAGTGAAAACATATATTATTTGGCTTTTTGATCCTGTGTTCCCTCAGAATGATAGCTTCTGCCTTCATCCATGTTCCTGCAAAAGACATCTTTTCTTTTTTATGGCTGCATAATATTCTATGGGGTATATATGTACCACATTTTCTTTATTCAGTCTGTCATTGATGGATGTTTAGGTTGAGTCCATGTCTTTGCTATCATGAATAGTCCTGCAATGAACATTTGTGTACATGTGTCTTTATGATAGAAGGCTTTATTTTTCTCTGGGTATGTATCCAGTAATGCAATTGCTGGGTTGAATGGTAGTTCTATTTTTAGTTCTTTGAGAAATAGCCATCCTGCTTTCCACAGTGGTTGAGCTAATTTGCACTCCCACCAACAGTGTATAAGTGTTCCCTTTTCTCTACAACCTTGCCAGCATCTATTATTTTTTGACTTTCTAATAATATGTCTTGGCTATTTTCATTCCATTGTTTTATATATAAATTTTACAATAATCTTGTTTCTCTATATTTTTCTGATGCTTTTGCTAATAACCAATTTGTATCTTTATATTTAAAGTACATTTCTTTTAAGCAGTATATAAACTTGAGTCTTGCTTTTTTATGCAGTTTGACAATCTCTGCCTTTTCACTGGGGTCTTGAGGTCATTTTCACTTAATATGATTTTTTTCACATGCTTAGATGTAAGTCTATCAACTTGCTATTTGTTTTCTATTTGTGCCATCTTTTTTGATCCCTCTTTCCTCTTTTCCTGCCTTATTTTAAATTATTTGAATATTTTTATGGTTTGATTTTATCTCATTTTTTGAAAAAAAAACTCTTTGTTTTGCTACTTTAATGATTGTTTTAGGGTATATAGTATATATGTTTAACTTATCATAGTCTATCTTCAAGTGATGTTATACCACCTCACTTATGGTATACTTCCATTTCTCTCTTCTTGACCTATATATTCTTGTCATGCGTTTTACTTCTACAGAATACAATGTTATTACTTTTGTCTAACCAGTAAATTATCTTTTAAATAGATTGTAATAATATGAAAAAATCTTATCTATTGCTCATATAATTACCATTTCTGGTATTTCTTATTCTTTTGTATAGATTGATATTTCCAACTGGTATAAATTTCCTTCTGTTCAGAGGACTTCCATGTAATGTAGACCTTTGAGTGATTAGTTATATCAGCTTTTAAATGTCTGGTAGAGTAATTTGCTTTCATTTTTTTAAAAAATGTATTTTTATTATGGTTAAAAAAAATAACATAAAATTGGCCAATCTGCAACTAATCTCCAGAACTTTTTTGTCTAGTAAAACTGAAACTCTATATTCACTAAACAACTCCACGTTTTCTCCTCCTCCCAGCCCCTGGAAATCACCATTCTACTTTCTTTCTTTCTTTATTCTTTTTTTAAAGACATGAGTCTCTCTCTCTCTCTCTCCATTGCCCAGGCGAAAGTGCAGTGGCAAAATCTTGGCTCATTGCAACCTCTGCCTCCTGGGTTCAAGTGATTCTCCTGCCTCAGTCTCCTGAGTAGCTGAGTGCACCACCACACCTGGCTAATTTTTGTTATTTTTACCAGCGATGGGGTTTCACCGTGTTGGCCAGGCTGGTATCGAACTCCAGACCTCTGGTGATTCACCCACCTTGGCCTCCCAAAATGCTGGGATTACAGGAGTCAGCCACCACATACGGCCCATTCTATTTCCTTTCTCCAGGGATTTGACTACTCTAGGTACCTCATGTAAGGGGAATCATACAGTATTGTTTCTTGTGACACCCTTATTTCACTTAGCATAATATCCTCAAGGCTCATCCATGTTATAGCATGTATCAGAAGTCCTTCCTTTTTAAGGCCAAGTAATATTCCATTGTTTGAATATACCACATTTTATTTATCCATTCATTTGTTGATGGAACTTGGGTTGCTTCCACCCTTTGGCTGCTAGAAACATGGGTGTGCAAATATCTTGCTTTTAATTCTTATGGATATATAAGCAAAAGTGAAATGCTGCAGCATATCACAATAATATTTTTAATTGTTTGAGGAACTGCCATGCTGTTTTCCGTAGTGGCTACACTACTTTACATTTGTACCAACTACTTTCATTTTAATCAATATTTGTGCTGGATACAGAATTTTAGGCTGACAAGTTTTTGTTTTCTTTCATTATTTTAAAGATGTTGTTGCACTGAGTTCTTACTTGCATTGCTTCCAACAAGAAATTTGATGTTCTCTTTAGTTTATTCCTCTGTATGTAGGGTGTCATTTTGATCTGCCTGATTTTAGGATATTCTCTTACATGAGTTACCATGAGCACTTTGATTATGTGTGTTGGTGTCATTTTGTGTTTCTTGTGTTTGAGGTTTGTTAAGATTTTTCTATCCGTGTATTTAGAGTTTTCATTAAGTTTTGAAAGTTTTATTTTTTCAAATATTTATTATCTTCATGCTCATTTGGGAGTCCCAGTTACCTGTATATTAAGCTACCTAAAATTATCCCTCACCTAACTGAACCCTTTTAATTTTTTTAAGGTTTTTCCCCTGTGTATTTCATTTTGAATAGCTTCTTTGCTATAACTTCGTAAGTCTTTTCTTCTACAATGTCTAATATGATGTTAATACTATCCAATGTACTTTTCGTCCTAAACATAGCTTTCATCTTTAGAAGTTTGATTTGGGTCTTTATATATCTTCGATGCTTTTACGGAAGTTTTTGAATGCATGAAATACAATTATAAGAGATGTCCTCTGCTAATGCTAACTTCTGTGTCACTTCTGGATCAGTATCAATTGATTGCTTATTCTCATTATAGGTTGTGTTTTCATGCCTCTTTGCATGCTCAGTAATTTTTTTGTTGGATGCCAGACATTGTAAACTTTATCCTGTTGGGTGCTGTACAGTTTTATATTCCTATAAATATTCTTGAACTCTGCTCTGGGAAGCAATTAAGTTCCTTGAGATCAATTTGATCCTTTCACATCATACTTTTATAATTTTTTAGGTAGTTCTGGAGCAGGACTTAGTGTACGACTAATCATTCCCCTCTTCTGAGATAAGACCCTTTTCAGTTTTCTACCCAATGCCTCATAAATTAGAGGTTTTCCACAATGGGTGATAAGAGCAGGCCTTATTCTCAGCCCCATGTGAGTGCCAGACACTGTTCCCTCTAATATTTATAGATGGCTATTCTCCTAGCATCAGGTAATTTTGCTTCATGTATGTCCTCATCAGTACTCTACTAAACACTGGAAGAAGACCCCCTGATCACTGGGTTGTCCCTTATCTAACTGAAGCTCTTTTAATTTTTAAGTTTTTTTTCTGTGTGTTTAATTTTCAATAGCTTCTTTGCTCTGACTTAAAGTTTATCAATCTTTTCTTCTACAATGCCTAATCTATGCTATGTGGTCCTCCCCAGTACTTGTCTTATAAATTCTGGCTGCCTTGGTCTCCTCAGACTCAGTTGCATCTCAAATCAGGATGCTTGCCAGGCTCTACTTCAGCTCCTCTTCTTGTGCTATATGCTGGAAATTCAAAGCAGTAAGCTGCACAATTGTAAAGCTCACTTTAATTCTTCTGTTCCGTTTTGTTTTGCTTTCTTTCTTTCTTTTTCTTTCTTTCTTTTCTCTCTCTCTCTGTCTCTCTTTCTTTCTTTCTGGAGTCTTGCTCTGTCACAGGGCTGGAGTGCAGTGGAGCGATCTTGGCTCACTGCAACCTCCAACTCCCGGTTTCAAGTGATTTCCCTGCCTTAGCCTCTTGCGTAGCTGGGGCTACAGGTACGTGCCACCATGCCCAGATAATTTTTTCTATTTTAGCAGAGATGGGGTTTCACCATCTTGGCCAGGCTGGTCTCAATCTCCAGACCTCATGATCCATCCGCCTCAGCCTCCCAAAGTGTTGGGATTACAGTCATGAGCCACGGCACCCAGCCAAAGCTCACTTTATTTCTTATCTCCCAGAAATCATTCTCCTTCATTGCCTGATGTTCACTGTCATAAAAGCCATTTTTTCTCTTTTCATGTATTTTGTCTTATCTTCTGTGGAGAGGGACTTATTGTTGAAGCAGGGACATAAAACAGTCTCTGTGACTACATATTAATTGCAAATGAAAGCATACCACAACTTTTTTTTAAATGGTACATCCCATTTGCTTTATATACAAAGGCACACAAATGTATAATACACAAAGATTAGAAGGAAATATACCAAAATTATAAATGATTGTTCTTTGCTTTAAAAAAAAAAAACTTATCTTTATAGGAAACCTGAAGTGTCTTGTAAATAATTTTCCATTTCTTTATTACACCATAACTTTTAAAAGGGAATAAAACTCTTTCTCAACCCTCATGTTTAAAAAAATTACATTCCTATACCTTAATATCAGCGATGACATTTCCTTACACTGTAAGCTCTCAATGGAGAGGAATCATGTCTTATTATTTTTAAATAAACTCTTGTACAAAGATCATTAACACTCTACATTGTGAATATTTAATAAATATATGGTATCTAAATAGACAGAGATTATTACAGTATTTGATGCTCTTTTATTTTTATGGTGAATGCACTATTTTTTGTTGCAGTGGAGAAATAAGGTAAAGAATGAAAAAGAGATTATTCTCAAACCTCAAAACTACTGGCAGCTTTTCTCCACAGAATGTTGTGTAGCCAGATCATTAATTCTGCTGTCAGTTGTCTTCCTGTTTGGTGAGCTGAAAAAGAAAAAAACAAGCTTTGAAAACAAGAATCTAGATCTATTACATTAAGTAAAGAGTGCTAACTATACCCGGAACCTATAATCTGTAAGTAATGGCTACAAAAAAAAAATTCAGACAGGTTTTCATCATCAATTTTAGGTTTACTACCATAATTGATAATATAATGCAATCAGAGTTTGCTAGAATCACAGTAATTCTCCCATCAGTCTATGATAGTTTTCCAGCCTAGTCTCTTTCTAACTTATTTTCCACATTCGAAATTAGATCATCAACTGGTGCCTTAATAAGGTTATTGTGAATGAGCAGACAGCAATGCCAGAAATCATTAATAAGAAGTGTTTATACTATTATGTACTAAACAGATCAGATCAAGTTCACAAGAAAGGCCAATTATACCTTAAAGCTTTGTAAAACACTTTAAGACCGTGCTTACACACAAACTTTATTACTTTAAATCTTAACTTGTGTTGATTGTTTCTGGTCTAGACGTTTACAGAGTTCAAATACATAACCACATTAAGGTAAAGTCTAAACTATAATAGAATTCTGTACCTCCTCTTCTGCCCTTTGGCATAAACTATCAATTTCCACAAAACTCTTGAATAGGATATTAAGAGTCTCTGACCCTCTAGCCCAGTCAGCAAATGTAGTTTGTTCCACAGCTTTTTACGTAAAAATACTCACATGAGAGTAAACAGCTACTAAATGTATCTACTTAAAATATTATAATACTTTGAGAGTAAGTGTAAATTAGTTTCACAATAAAACTTAGTCTGAGTCGAATTTTAGGAAAATGAGTTATTCTGCATAATAAAGTTTTCTGGTTAACTGGCAGTTTACTTTCTTCAAATAAAAATCACTTTTGAATTTAAAAAGTCAATCTTTTCATTAAAGTTCTTAAATTTTCTAAAAAGTAAACAAACTTCCGTTGGGCGCGATGGCTCACGCCTGTAATCCCAGCACTTTGGGAGGCCGAGGCAGGTGGATCACGAGGTCAAGAGATCGAGACCATCCTGGTCAACATGGTGAAACCCCGTCTCTACTAAAAATACAAAAATTCAGCCGGGCATGGTGGCATGTGCCTGTAATCCCAGCTACTCAGGAGGCTGAGGCAGGAGAATTGCCTGAACCCAGGAGGTGGAGGTTGCGGTGAGCTGATATCACGCCATTGCACTCCAGCCTAGGTAACAAGAGCGAAACTCCTTCTAAAAAAAAAAAAAAAAAAAGTAAACAAACTTCCTAGTTTTTGTAAGTACGATTTAACTTTTTCTTGGCCACTCAAGGTCAACATTAACAATTTTTTTATTTTATTGTACTATTAATATATCACAGCGATACCTTTGGGAGTTTCATACAGCACAGATTGCTGTATTAAAAAAATTTGAGGCCGGGTGTAATGGCTCACACTTGTAATCCCAGCACTTTGGGAGGCTGAGGTGGGTGGATCACAGGTCAGGAGTTCGAGACCAGCCTGGCCAACACGGTGAAACACCATCTCTACAGAAAATAAAATATTAGCCAGGTGTGGTGGCAGGCGCCTATAATCCCAGCTACACAGGAGGCTGAGGCAGGAGAATCGCTTGAACCTGGGAGGCGGAGGTTGCAGTGAGCCGATATAGCGCCACTGCACTCTAGCCAGGGCGACATAGCAAGACTATCTCAAGAAAAAAAAAAGTTGAACCTGTTTTATAAAGTTGGTAGAGTTTTTTTCCTCCCTATGGTCAGGCTATCTGTATACTTCCCTTTAAAACTTGACTCTATTTGCAAAATGCTACCATTAAAATGCTAAGAGTAGGAAATCCAGATACCCAAGTTTATCAGAAGTGAGCCTCAAAATAATTGGTAAATGTCTGGAGGGAGGGTATTATCAGTAAAATACAGTTCTTAGAGATCATCTAGTCAGATAACTTCCTTTAAAAAATTAATGACTTTGTCTTTAGAAAAACATTATTCATGCTCACAAAAATTCAAACAGGGAGGGATCCAAGATGGCCAATTAGGAGCAGCTAAGGATTGTGGCTGCCAGTGAAAGTGCACAGGGTGAGTGGACGGCCACATTTCCAGATGGATTTTTATTGCCCACAGACTAAGAGTTTCAGAGGCGAAGGAGCCCCACAGGTCGCCAGCACGGCTGGTTTGGTCAGCGCGGATGTTGTGCTGGCGCCCCGGTGCAGCGGTTCTCCATACAAAATACACGAGTCCGGGCACTGTTTTAGATGGCAATTGGAGCTCCGGGAAGGCAGAGTAGCCCATTCATATGATTAAAAAAGGAACTGACACAGGGAGCCAGGCCAGGAGATTCCCGGACAAAAAAGCGCCACGAAACGAATCTCAGCACAGCTGTTTCAGCCAGTGCAGTGGGTCGCCCCATGGGAAATCACACATATACTGGCAACTTTTCAACAGGTGACTGGAACACCTGGGAGACACAGTCAACCGTTCAACTAAAAAAAAAAAGAGGGGGGCGCTCTGAGACAGGGAGCCAGGTGATCAGGCTTGGCTGGTCCCATCCCCACAAAAAAACAGCAATTGAAACACTCTGGATTGAGAGTTTCACAGCAAGCACAGCTGAACCCGGGATGGTCCAGCTCTGGGGGGGAGGGGTGCCCAGGATTACCGAGGCAGTCCACCACTATGGAGGTAGTTTGCCATTGCTGAGGAAGCCTGCCATTATAGAGAGAGTCCGCCATTATACAGGTGGGCCACCATTGTTGAGGCAGTTCTAACTACACCCGTATAAACAGGACTGCAGGGAAGTTCACGTGGCAGTTGGGTGTAGTCCACAGCAGTTCACCAAAGCCTCTACAGGCAGACAGTGACTAGGCTGCCTCCTCGCTGGGCAGGGGAGCCCTGAAAAAAGCCAGTAGCACAACAGAAACTCATAAATAAAGCACTAGCTCTCCGGGACAGAGCACCTGGGAAAAAAACAAAAGGGAGGGGTGGGGTTATGAGTTCTGCTGCAGCAGACTTAAACGTACTTGCCCAGCAGCTCTGAATGAACAACGGAGCTCACAGCAGAGCACTTGAGCTCCTATAAAGGACAGACTGTCTCCTCAAGAAGGTCTCTGACCCCTGTATATCTAAAGAGTCACCTCATAAAAGAGAGCTGAGACTGACATCTGGCAGGTATCCTTCTGGGACAAAGATAGCAGAAGAAGAAACTGTCAGCAACCTTTACTGTTCTGCAGCCGCTGCAGGTGATCCCCAGGCAAATAGGGTGTGGAGTGGACCTCAGTACTCCTACAGCAGAGGGGCCAGACAGTCAGTAGGAAAACTAAGAAATAGAAACAAATAACTTCATCATCAACAAACTGGATGTCGACTCAGAGACCCAATCTGAAAGTCAACAACTTCAAAGACGACAGGTGGATAAAAACACAAAGATGGGAAGAAACCAGAGAAAAAAGGATGAAAACACCTGAAATCAGAATGCCTCTCCTCCTACAAGGTGTCACAACTCCTCACCAGCAAGGGAACAAGGCTGGATGGAGAATTAGTGTGATGAAGTGACAAAATCAGGCTTCAGAAAGTGGGTAATAAGAAATTTCTGTGAGCTAAAAGAACATGTTCTAACCAATGCAAAGAAACTAAGAACCTTGAAAAAAGATTTAACAGGATAATAACTTTTAAGATATTGAAGCAGGAGGATTGATCCAAGAAGGCCGTTTAGGAACAGCTCAGGATTGAAGCTCCCAGTGAAAGTGCAAAGGGTGAGTGGAAGCCACATTTTTATTGCCCACAGACTAGGAAATTCCCAGGCAGAGAAGCTCCACGGGTCGCCAGTGCGGCTGTTTCGGCCCAGTGCGGCTGTGCCGACCAGCGCTGCTGCTTTACCCCGCGCGGCTGCTTTGTAGGCGCCCCGGAGCAGTGGTTCTCCGTACAAAATACACCGGTCCGGGTGCCTTTTTGGCTGGCAATTGGAGCCACTGGAAATCGGCCATTTGTCTGTTTAAAAAGGGGACTGAGCAGAGAACCAGGACAGTAGATTCCAGGGCAAAAAAAGCGCCACGAATCTCAGTGCCGCTGTTTAAGCCAGCACAGCGAGTTGCCGCAGGGGAAAACACACAGACCCTGAGGGCTCGCCAACAGGCGACTGGAGCACCAACTTAAAAAAACACACAAACAAAAAGGCTCTGAGGCAGGGAGCCAGGCAAAGAGGCACAGCTGGTGCCACCCCCACAAAAGAACAGCAATCAGAAACTCTCCGGATTGAGAGTTTCACAGCAAGCACAGCTGAACCCAGCATGGTCCAGCTTTGTGGGGGAGGGGTGTCCGCAATTACCGAGGCAGCACACCACTATGGAGGTAGTCAGCCAATACTGAGGCAGCCCACCGTAGCCAAGGCAACCCGCCACTGGAGAGAGACTCCGCCTTAACAGAGGTGGGCCATCATTGCCGAGGCAGTTCTGACTACACCCATATAAAGAGGACTGCAGGGAAGTTCACTTGGCAGCTGGGCGGAGCCCACAGCAGCTCAGCAAAGCCTCTACAAGCAG